TATAGTATAAAATAAATAAACAAATTAATGAAATTAACAAAGAAATATGCCGAAAAAAATTATTATACAAATTATATCATAGATCTAGTACTTGAGAGTACAATAAATATATTGGAATTATTGTTTTAAGTATAATTGCTTAGAGCGGTTCAATGTTTAAGAAAATTATACCAACTTTGATATTGTATAATTCAAATAATTTTCTAATTAGATCACTTTAATATTTCGCATCATTTGAATTTCGGGTATATGTAAAGCCTTCCTGTGCGTTATATTATTTGCTTAAAGTAAGATATTTTTATTGTAGTATCTTTAAACTGTTCGAAATGCAAATAAGAAGTATATTTACGTTTGTATACTTTCTTAAAGACACCAAATCAACCAAAATATAATTAGATGTATTTAGTGAATTGAGTTTTTATGCCTTAAAAGTTATTATACTGCATTGTTCGATTCTTCTAATTTTCAATTAAAAATTATATACGTACGTAAAAACCCATGTAAATTGAAAATTATTTCAATCAATTTTAAAGTGAAAAAATTCCAATAGTTCATAAATTTTTAACATTATACAGGTTAGAAAAAAACAATGCACTTATTTATCATGCAAATATTCATTTTATGTTTATTAGTATAGAACAAAAACCATTAGTAACACTTATTCATATAACTTATAAATTAAAATGTCAGGTATGCGGTTTGTTAATTAGTATAACAATACGACTAAATTTAGTTCAGTAATTTCATTTTCTTATTCTTACTAACTTTATACATTTTATGTGCATAAATAATATAATAATATATGCTTGTATGTGCATATTATTATACTACAGCTTTTCTCCTAATTTAATATGCATGTTATGCACCCACAACACTACATGAAAATATTAAATTTTTAATTTAAATGATTGTTTGTTATTTGTGAATGCTATTGTTATTTTATCAGTTAGTATACACTTGTGTGTGTGTTTGTTATATCGTATAGCAATTTATTGGTTGTAATCTACGTTTCCCTTTTATCAGAATAAGTGTCTAATTATGCGTTTTGGTGTACAATTTGGTGTTTATTTTCGGAAAGAAGAATTTTTCACTTTGTTTGTTAAAAAAAAATATTTAAGAGTAAAAAATTTAACATATTTTATCTTTTTCGCGGTTCACTTTTAAATATTTTGAGACAATTGATTTTGATATTTTAGTAGCGAAACATATTTTGTTGAAATGTTTTGTTTTGGTTGGGGAATCAAGGGCATTATATGAAATTCTCTCACAAATCAATTTTTCATTTTGCTGCCAAATAGTTTATGATTTCATTAGACCATTTTTTTTTTGTTCCAACTGTTTTGTCTACGAAGACTTTAAAAAGAAGAAAAGAACATTCTTCTTATTAAGTATTCTGTTGTGCAGGATCGCTAGGAATAATATTTTTTTCAGCATTATGCTGAAAATAAGGCGAAAAGAGCCTTCTTTTTATTAAGTTTTCTGTTGTGCAGGATCGCTAGGATTAATATTTTTTGCTACATATTCAAAAACTGAGACACTTCTAAGAGATTTAGATTCCAAACGGTCACTTAACATGTTTTATATAATTTGGAGACCTTATATTTTAAGTGCAGTTCATTTTTCATTTATTTCATGGTTCATACACCTTAAAAATTGCTTAAAAGTCCATATTTTGTGTGTCTACTGATTAAAAACATTTTGACTCCAAAATCAAAGTTGATATTAACACACAACTCAGCATATATAGGTTGTAATTTTATTGCTAATATTAATGGATTTTTGAAGTCACAATACTCGTACTATTTTCAATTATTGACTGTTCTTGAAAATTGTAACCTTTACTGACTTATGGTACATTACAAGTTTATTATATTTCATACAAAATGTACTTGAAATGGCGAAAACTTTTGAAGGTTTTGAATGTTTTAATAGTGAAACCTACACATTTAGTTAAAGCCAATATCCTGTATTCAGTTGAAATTTCATATTAAAATTTTATATTAAAATTTCTTATATTTTTAATGTCAGTTAAGTTATTAAACTAAAAATGTCATTTTATTTCACCGCAATAATATTTATTTTTATGACTGTGAAAACATAAACCACACAATGCAGAAATGTAATGCCATTTAAAAATGTCAACAAATGAGTAAAACGCGAATTTCTTTATACATTTACATACATCCGTACAGATGCATGTATAAATTTAAAGTATGCAATTCTTTTTTCTTGTAATTCAATTAAAATAATCTATATAAATATGGTATAGCATGAAAAACTATTTCAAATATTTGTAACTCTCATAATGTAGTCGAAATACATATTTCAAAGTAATAGATACTTTTACTGATCTAATGAATGTTTTTTTTTGTTTAAATTTTGCTCGTAAAATGTTAAAATAAAACACCAAAAGCATAAATTGCATATCCATGCTATGAGTCGTATTATTTAACATAACATTCACATTATCTACGTGAGTACATTCGTGCAAATAATATGTACAAATTTTAGTACTCTATGTTAGTAGATACGCTTATTATGTTTATTTGCACTGCATGCAATATTGCCCTCTTTTCACTATCATATTATAATGCTGAAAATACAAGAGAAATAAGGTAGAATACTTGTAATAAAAGAAGTTTAAGAAAAAAAAAAATATTGTCGATTAAGACAAAAAAATTTATAATTGTTTTTCTTCTTATCTTATCTGAAAGTAAACAATACATGCATATGCAATGAGCATTCAATAGCTTTAATAGGTTGCAACAAATAAATTCGAAAGTAAAAATATAGAAAATTAATTTTGTGATTGGAAATATTGCACGATATTAATTAAATTAGTTTTTAAATTGCAACAATACATGCATATATTATTCAATAGCTGCAAAAGTTATGCATATATCAAATTGACAGATGATTGGCAAATTGTCATTTATCCAAGTTGGGATCCAAAAACAAAATTACCACTAATAGGGTTTAATGATCTAGCTGACGTGCAACTTTTAACAGTTTTCAATAATTTGCAACTGTTTTTTTGCCTACTTCTATTCCATAGGTTAGACACACTTGAATATATTGGGCACACTTGCGACTGTATGATCGTTTGCAATCAGGCAATTTTTTACAAACTGATTGCAATTGTTAATTAACCTAATCGAGTTGAGTTGATTCAATAGTTTAGTTACTTTATAATCAAGCAGTAATTGTAAAATTAAAAATTCATGTCTGCCTGAGCCCTAAGATCCGTGGTATGCAACTCTTTTAAAATTAAATCTTCATATTACGTGACATTACAGAATACTATGTATATTTTTGCACTTTAATATGCCCAAAAACTATCAAAAATTTTCAAAATTAAAAATTTTCAAGCTTTATTTGAGTCTGCAATTTTCTCTTTTGCCTTTTGATTTCGATATTCTGCACTTCGAATGATAATATTTTTATTTAACTTTCAATTGTTTTCTTATTTTTTTCCCCTTGTTTTCTTATCATTCTATACATTTTGCAACAAAATATTTGAGTAAGAGAATTAAATTTCACATTTTTTAAGTAACTTAATGAAAAACAGAATTCATTTCATATATGTATATGTATAAAAACAAACATGCACACGGGTACACATAACAAATTACTTGTATGTTTGTGTTCAAATTTATGAAGCTATAGAAATTGTATAAAAAATAAGAATTTTTTTTTTAATTTCTTTTGAAAATTTCAATTTCCTCTATAGAACTTATACTGATTTTCTTTAAGTTTTTTTCTTAAATTCTAAAATTTATGGCTGTTTATGTTCATATAATTACATTAGAAGCTACTAAATCTTTTACTTTAATTATTTGTATTAGTCTTGTTAGTCAATTATGTACATAAATACAAGCATAAACTTACCAACCTAGTAAAAAGTGAATATTGGCTTTTGAATTTATTTTTTTTTTCAGAAAATCAAAAACTAACGTGAAATATTTTTTCAAATACCGTTGTCTTCTGCTTTACTGTCATTATTGTCGTCCCACAATTCGATATAAACGATGAAATAACATTATTGTAGAACCAGAAATCTGATTTTGCTTTAAGATATTTACACGTTGCTTACCTACTTCTTTTTTTTTTCTTTTTTTTTTTGTATTTATTTTTAATGAATGGTGATCTGCTGATGCTATTCTCTCTGTTTTCTTATAAATTTACAGTTTTTTTAATTTCTTTTTTTTTGCGGTTATTTAAATTCCGTGAGAGTGAATTTTTTTTTACCATTATTGTTATTGTTGTCGCTGTTGTTGTTATTGTTTTTTTTTTGTGAAAAATGAGAACAAACAGCAGACATTAAAATGACAACGATTTGTGAATTTTGTGTGATGTTCATGTTATAATGATTATAAACGAATAACAGACATAAATAAATAGAAAGAAAATATAAAAGAGAAGCGAGAAAGCGAGGCTTCAAACATAAATGAAAAACCTGTTTTAGAGGGTGCTTTGAAAAATTTTAAAGATACATTTACAGTTAATATAAAATAATAGATATTTTGTTGATGCATGTGTGTATGTGTGTGATTTATAAGCTTGGGAGTATTATTGAGAGAATTAAATTGCAGACCTAGAGCTTGGATTATAAAATTTTTAAATTGAGTTAAATTAAAAAGACTGGGTATAAGTATTAGTGTATAACAAAGAGAATGAGAAAAAGAGCAAAACACACAGGAAAAAAAAATTAAAAAAGAGCTAAGAAAATAAATGCCGTTTATTGTTGTCTTGCCGTTCATCAGTTAATTTGTTCAATTTCGATTTATTATATGTTCTTTTCTGTGTTGTGTTTGTGTTTGAAATTTTCAAATTCAGAGAAAGAAAAACAGGGAGAGTGAGAGAATTATATTTTACTGGTTTTATTTTATTACGCGAGTTAACTTTATTTATATATATTTTTTTTTTAAATTATTTTCTTTTTGAACAAATAAATTTTTAAAATATTTTATGTTTTTTAGTTTACGACGGTATTTCGAGCGGTTAACAAATTTTTATGTTTTCGGTTTCGGATTAAAATTTTATTAAATGAAAAAAATTATTTTTCAATAATATATCGGTATATATATTATAAATAGTAATTTTTTTTTATTAATAAAAAAATATTAATATTGTAACGTAAAGTACGGCCCATTTTTACGTTTTTCGTTTTTTTGCATATTATAATAATAATTAAAAGCGTAAATTTGATAAACCATAATTACGAAACAGAAAATAAATATTATTAATAAATATAATATTATTATGTATATAAAATATAAATATACATTAGAATATAATTTAAAAACAAAAAACAAAATAAAAAGTTGAGAACAAAAAAAAAATTTTTAAGCTTTGCTTGGAATATTTTACACAACAAAAAAATAACAAAGCTTGATTAATTTGTTTTAAAATTTTAAATAAAAAAAAAAAAGGAGAACGTATTTTCCCCAGGGGGGAAAATTCGATTTTTGTGTTCTGTTTTTTTTACGTTTTATTACTTTTAATAAAAATATATGTACATATCTGGCTATATATGCAATATTAAAATTGTTTTGAAGTGAAATAATTTTTTTAAGCTTTCATTATATTACATTTTAATATTTTAAATTGAAAACAAAAGAAAATTATTAAAATAATGCACTACCTATCTACCTACCTATGAATATTTAATGGTTAATTAGAAAAAAAATTAAAATTAATTTAAAAATATTCGTGGTAAGAAAAGTTTTGGTATAAAATTTAAAGTGTAATCTTAATTACATTTATTTTATTGATTTGTAGAATTTATTATAATTCAAAATATTATATGTTATATTTAATTGACAATAATATAATTAAGGATTGCGATTAATAGTGAGTGGTTTATAAACAAAATTGTGAGAAATTCCAAAAATTTATTAAAATAAATTCTTTTGCAAATTTGTATTTAATTTATAAAGTTCCAATAATTTTATTAATTTGACACATAAAATACATTATGTACATATGTATATACATATCTTCAATTTGAATGATGATTATTAAGGCTTCGTCATTTTTATACATACAAATTTTTTTTTTCAATTTTAAAATAAAATTATATTTTTTAATTCATAACAAAATTTAAAATTTCACAAGTTTTTGTTAATAGTAAAATAAAAAATTAATTTGAACGAAATTTTAAAATAATAAACTTGTTTATTAAAAAATTTGCAAAAAAAAAAACAAGTGTTAAAAAGCAACCATTATGAAAAAAAAAAGAATGTTATAAGAATTGTTCAAAAAAAAAAAACGAGTTATCAAGGTTATAAGCTTATTTAATTTGTTATTTTATTAATAATCAAAACCTGTCGTTAATTTTATTTTATTTGTAAAATTTATAAGTGAGAAATTTTGCAACACAGAATATACATATGTACATATGTATGTATTATTATTATAAGAAAAAAAGAAAATCATATATAAAAATCACTGTGATTGAATCATTCTAAAAATATTTAACGATATTGTTTTTTTTTTTTTTTTGGCTCTGTGTGTGTTTAGATACTTATATTGTTAAAGTCACGATTTTTTACTTTCATATTGTAATTTTTATTATTTTTTTATCTTGTTCACAACGAAATGAACATCAAAAAATAAAACAAGCAAGACAAAAAAGTGAATGGTTCAAATATTTATAGATAATTTTTTTTATTACGAGTATTAACATGATTTCTAAATTTTATTACCCAAAAAAAAAAAAAAAATTGGAAAATTCATTTAATATTATAATTTTTTATATACTTAGATACTCAAGAATATGTGATTTATTTACTTAAGTATATTCAGCCAGTAATTTGTAAAATAAATAATAAATAAAATATGGTATAACAATTGTTTCTATAATTAAAAATATTCTTGAGTTCTACATTATTTTGTTTCGATTTGAAATGGAATGTGCATATTAAAATTCTCGGGAATAAAATAATAATGTTTTTTTTTTCTAAATATAATTTCAATTATAAGTGAAATAATTATTTTAAAAAAATTAGTTTTATTTCTGTTATACGAGTACACACTTATATTACGAGTATTTAATTACAATCTTTTTTATTTAATTAATTAAAAATTCATTTATAATAGTCTATATATAATTTAACAAAAACAATAAGGCAAAAAGGAAATACTTAATAATTTTCTGCAATAATAATAATTATTTAAATATTAATTTATTTATAATGGATTTTGCCCACCATTAGAATAAATTTTATTCGCCTGTTTTAAAATTAAATTTTTGATAATTTAAATGCGGTTTAAAATCACGTTTATTTTTTCTTTTTTATTATTATTTTGTTATATATACAAATTAAGTACCTATATTAAATATATTTATTTACTTAATACACGTCTACAATATGTATACAACCATTTCGGATGACTAATTGTTTTATTTCGAAATGTTTTTGTTTTTATGCTGATGATTTTTCATTTAACATATTCACCTAATTGATTACATTTAAATTTTGCTTATTTTGATTCATTAAATTTTAAATTTCCTTATAATTATGGTGTATAACTAAATTATTAAAATTATTTAATTATATAAGTATATACAGTACATATGTACTTGTACTTAATATATGCTGGAAATATATACCATAGTATAGGTATAGTGAAATTAAATGAGGAAATTTTAATTTTAAATACTAATGAATTTATTTTGGTAAATTATAGGTTGCTTAATTTTTTTAATAGCCTTTAAGTACAAATAGAATTGGACAAAAAAAAAAGTATTCGGAACAAAAGAATTTATGTTTTGTGTGTAACATCTCATTAAAAATTAATATTTTTCCTAGCATGAGGCCAGAAAATTTTTAGTTTCAAATTTGTTTACTAATTGTACTTAGTAATCGAAATTTTATTTGAGTGTAAGTTTATAATTTCTGTTTAGCTTTTTAATTTATTTAATAATTACTTCAAGTACTCAAATTCTTAACGTTTCTTTCAAAGGAAGTAATTAAGTATATGTACATTTTTAATTGTTTGAGATTTATTATCGGCCGTTCACACATTTTACTTATTTACTTAAATATAAATAGGTAAAATAAAATTCAAAAAGTACTTAATTTTTGAAAAATTCTACAATTTTACTATACAATATTTAAGTATAGGAAGTTCATTAAAAAATTTTTTAAAAATTAAAGAATTGGAAAAAATGAATTGTTGTTGAACTTCTTTTTTTGGGATTTCCTCTTTTGAGATTTAACTTAAACTGAATTGTTCAAATTACGATTAATACATTAGAGCGTAAATTGAACTGGTTTCATATGGGATTTTCACACACTGCTTCAGGGTTTTATAAATTACAGCTTTTTTTTACAGTGAATGAATGGAATCAGAAATTTCTTGTAATTTGCTTGCTCTTGTATATTTATACATACTACAGTATATTTTTTACACTACTGGATTAAGATAACTTTAAGTAAATTATGTAATTTAAAAAAAAAGTAAAACAAATTTTATGACTATTATTTACCTCAGAAATGATTAATATTTTGATATCTATGTACAAAATATTGACAGGCTGCCAATAAATAAATATTAAGAATTCAAAATAAACAAAATTATTAAAGCAAATAAAAAATTAATTATTTTAATTTTAAAAATTTAATTTGTTATCGATTCATCGATTTGTAATTTAATTATAAAATGTGATTAATTAAATTCATTTATATAGTTATTAAAATTCATTGCGGCTTCATAGGATGTCAACTATTAAAAAATATTGCATATTTGACCTTTAAAAAAAAAATTGGCCGCATAAGTATCACAATTATTTACATACATGTATATTTTTTAACATTTTCAATTAATATCAATGAAGAATACGAAAAATGAATTCAAAGTATCTGGTTTCTTAAAATTTACATTTTCTATAGTAATTGTATATATATATGAGTATTAAAAGACACTGTATTGACCCTCAACTTCATTCATATATCAGTTCTTAAAATAAAATACAAAAATCAAAAGTACAGAGTGAAAAAAAAACAAAATCAGAAAAATGGCAAAAGTTAAATTTTTAATTTTTTACTCAATTTTTTTTTGAGGGTCAAGGGGATCGTTTAAAAATAATTTGGTTATATATTTTGTAATTTTCGATATTTATTCAATGGAATGAGATTTATTTTGAAAGAGAGTATGTACTTAATCATATAATTGATTAACAAAATGATATTTAATTTAATTTTATTTTTGAAATGTAAATCGATGATTGGTTTAAAATTACATAAGTATTTTGTGATGATTATTTTAATTTTTTCAATAATAGTTTCAGGTTAAGGTATTTTGGTTTTTGAAATTAATACCTTTGACACGATTTGAATTCAATATTTTTCCGTGAATTTTAATTTTTAAATAATATGCAAGTATTTCGAAATGGTATTTTTAATAATGAATACTTCATATTGTTACAATGATGTTAATTGTTTTAAACAATATGCGATTTTGATCTTTAAATATCCCATAAGCCTTTCATGATGCTACTCGTATGTACTTATGCAATTATTCGGAAATTTTCAATTCTTTTTTCAGAAATTTCTTTTTTAAATTTTAAAATATTAAATCAATTTTTCGGTCTTTACTTCGTTTTAATTTTTGATTAAAAAAGGAATTATTTTTATTATGAATAGAATAAAGTTTTCGACGAAAATAAAGAAGTGCAATTGCTTTTTATTTAATTTACTTTAAAGCAAATTATTAATTATTATTTTTAAACAATAAATTTTTAAAAATTTTTCAATAATTCTTTCTTATTTTAATTATTTCTTATCAAAGTAAAATTGAAATTAATTTCTTTTTTATTCAAATAATCTAATTTATGAGTGAAAGTTTTATTTTTATGCATATGTTTCTTTATAATACTTAATATATGGAATTTAATGTTAGTCATCATAGTGCACTACAAGTACATTCTACAATTAGGTCAAGTTTATTTACTTTAGATACTGATAACACAAATAGTAACAATGCGTAAACAAAGTATTAAAATTATTTTTGATAAAACTATGTGTATTTGTAATTTAAAGATATTGTAGTACATAACAAAAACTACCAAACTCTTTAAAATTTTATAATTAAAATTGAGTAGATGATATAAAATTGAATCAAAGCAACTATTGCAAGTTTGTCCGATTTTTACAAAATTTCTTGAATAAATAAATTAAAATTTGTAAAAAACATGACTAAAACTAAAAGATTAGGGAATTAGGTAAAATTTTGAAAAAAAGATTTGAAAAATTCTTTAAATATTTCATAAGGAATTTCCGGGTTAAAGAAAACTAAAAGAATTAAGTTGGTTCAAAGCAGTGATTTGCAATGTAGCACTTTTCCCTTTAACAAATGAAAATACTGCTTTTAACAGCAATCTATTTTTGTACTACGTTATTAAAATTACTTTCATTCATATACCAATACATTTCAAGGACTGCATACATTTAGGATAAACAATTTATGCAATCTTTGAAATAAAAAAAAAAATTTAAAGAGGCGTTAACATAAGGGTTAATTGCTTGAGCTAAGAAAAATAATTATATTTTTTGATGGCATGGCATTTAGCTTTTTGCATTTATAGAAATTTGGAACAGCTTGCAGCTGCGGAAATATAAGGTGTCAAAAATTCAAATTTTACAAATTTTGAGTGGCGATAGCTTAAAAGCTGTTAAAATTCCAGGCTTGGAGTTTAAAAGAAAAACCACATCAAAAATTTGGGAATTTTTTTAAAGTTCAGATATGGTATGCCGCTGTAGAAGCGGCAACGCACAGCTTTTCTATGTTTGAAAAATTTAAAAAATGCTTATACTTAGTTTCATTGAAATCAATATTTAAAAAATGGCATTTTTAAGGGTTTTTGAGGGCATACTTTTTAGTGACTTTTAACCCCTTAATTAAAAGTAAAAATTTCACCAAAATTCGTTGAAATTCTTGTATCTGCGAAAACCTTGAGATTTGGCACTCAATCCAGTGCAAAAAACTCTGTAACCAATGAGATATAATGTTGTATATCTTTCTTAGTCACCCTGTATATCTTGCGGAAAACAAAATAATATATAAAACTCAATACAAGCCTTTATGCTTAAAGTAATCTCAAGTACTTAATGAATCAAAATAAGAATGCGAAATATTGGAATATTGCTGTAGAGTCTATTCACAATTTGAAAAAAAATTAAATAATTGATAAATATATTTTATTAATAAATAGCAAAATCCGTAATTAAATTATCAAAAATGATTTATTAAAATTTTGAATAAGAGTGTTAATTTTATTTATAGGACTTTAAATTTTTCTAGCAATTTGTATAATGAAAGTTTTGTGTAAGTTCAATTGGAAAAAAAAATTTGTTCATAATGTGAAAAAATTTATAATATTTAAAAGTGACAACGAAATGTAAAAAATAAATGTGCAATAATGGAAAATTATTTGCAAGATTAAATTTTATGTGAATAAAACGAATTTTCTAAAATACTTTGAATTTCATCTAGCATCTTTACTTTCTTAAACTTATACCAATTGCAAACAAAACGAGTAAATAATGTCATCTTTTATAACTGCAAAAAAGGCAGGTCCACCTATACCACCTCGACCTATAATAAATATACATCATCACCAAAATCAAAATCAATTACAACAACAAAAAAATCCACCTTTTACAACTGCCAATACAAATCAAATGCCGTCAAAGTCTCGAATTGATTCTTCAAAATTATCCCAACATTACTCTAATCAATCATCATTCCAATCACAACGTATTCATGTACCCAATAACAATAATCCAAATAATACTAATAATCATAATATCAATATAATTACTGGTAACAAATCGGGAAAAATTAACAGTATCGATTCAAATGAAATTAAATCACCTTTATCAAGTTCCAATAAAAACTATACAACCATAACAACTACAACAAACTTGAAGAATTCGGCTTCCTCATCATTACCAGCAGCAACTACAACAGCGTTTACATCAAAGAATCCTATGCTTATTACCGATCTTGATGATGATAATAATAATTATGATTACAATACATATCATCATCAACACTATAATCAACAAATATCATCTGAAAATATTTATGATAATAATAGTAAACAGAATTTACGTGATGCACCTATTGTACCGAAAGTAATTACCGGTGGTAGAACCGTTATATACAAGTCACCGACATTTAATTCAAATAAGAATCATGAAGATAAAGAAATAAATAATAAAATAATTTTAAAACAAACTAATAATATACAAAAACAATATAATAAGAAACCACAAAATATTTCTATAAAACCAACATCATCATCTTCATCAATATCAACATCATCATCAATTTCATCATCGAATTCATCAACAGCATCAGCTTCAATAACAATACCGGATAAATTAAATTATAGTAATCAAAACGAGGCATTCAATCAAATTGTTATAAATCATCATAATAATAATTTTTCACAAGATAAGCAAAATATAAATACAAATACAACATCTTCATCTATGTTTTCAAATATAAAAAATTCTTCTTTAACTTCTTCTGTAACACGTAATTATCAACATCATAATGAATATAAACAACAACAACAGCAAAAGCAGCAGCAACAATCTTTAAATAATGCGTCTGGATCTTCTATTAAAATAATTACAAATGGCAATAATTCAATTAATATGACATCTTTGAACTTAAATAGCAACAATACTAGCAGTAATATTAATAATAATAACAACAACGATAATAATAATAATCGTGGTGTCAATAATAATTACCATTCAAATATGAATAATAATAATAACAACAATAATAGTAATGTTAACAGTAACAGTAATTTTAATAGAATAAGGAATGATAATAATGGAAATTCTATAACTTCAGCTATTAATTCTTATAATAAAACAATAATTCACAATAGTAACAATTATATTGATAACACATTTAATAATAATAATAATAACAATAGTTATATTAGTAACAATAATAATGAGTCATTATCATCAGCAAAAATTATTGTTAACTCTTCATCATTAAGTAATAGTACGGCTACAACAACAGCAACATCAACAAATGGAAATAATCGACGATTTTTTAATGAATTAAATTTTCCAACAAAACCAAGTGAATTAAAACGAAATCGTACTGAAATCATTATTAAAACTAATAAAATATATTCAAATAATAATAGTAATAATATCAATAATGTTTATAATAATAACAGTTACGACAGTAAGAATAATATTAACAATAAAGTTGGAAGCTATGAAAATGTCGTTGAAAATAATTTGATAAACAATCATAATAAATTTTCAATTGCAAATGGTAAGTTTTACATTGTAATTGTTTTTTTTATTCTTGATTTTATAATTTTTTTAAGTTCAGAAAGTTGATTAAAACAACAATTTTTTATTTATTTTAATCGCTTAACTACATTATTATACCCGTAACTACATATTTATAATTTATTTTTTAAATAGTAAATTTTTCAAAAGAAAAGTAGACATTTAATTTTCAATATGAATTCAAAGTGTAACATAAAAATATTTATGAATTTCGTTCACCTATCAATTTTATATCGTGGAAAGTATATGTAATACACGAGAATAAAATCATCATTACTCAGTAATAATTCCTAAATTACTAGTTACTTAATCTTTAAAATATTCTAAATCTATATTTACTCAGCAACAATTTTTTTTAGAAATTTCTTAATAGGAATTAAAAAACACTATTTTAATGAATAGAGCCCCATGAAGTCAGAATGGCACATTTGAAAAAACAAAATTTAATAAAAACATTATTGCTTTCAATTATGTAAAAAAAAATGTTTTATTAATTTTTTCGCTTTTTTCTACATTTGCTTAGAAATTATTAATATCCGGTTAAGAATAATATAGTAGTAATTCTTGTTCACTTGGAATATTTAACATTTTGCAAAGTTTAATTACACTTCACCTTATTCTTTCGGAAATTTTCGGTTAAAAATTATTAAGCATACATAATGGATTTTCTAGGAATTGGTTTAAGTAGAATAAAAAATTTTCTAAGAAAATTAAAAAAAATTTCACACTTTTGTTAAAAAAAAGTGTTTGAATTTTGTATTCTGTCCAAGAAATTTAACCCTATTAGTTTTCGTTGTACATAACACAAGTTTTAAACTTAAAATTTCGTCACAATAAACGCTTCAATTATTTGTTACGTATTTATTTTTTAAACTTTTATTTTTTTAAGGAAAAAAAAATTAATTTTTTTTTATGTTATTTTTTGTTTTTTAGATAATAAAACCATTGATATGGAACATAAATTAAATAATAATAATAATGATTGTAAAGATGATAAAAATAATAGTAAATTTATTACAATATCAAAATCATCAAGTGAAAATAATAATGATCCACAATTATCACCGAAACCAAAACCTAGAATAATTCCGCGCAATGATTATAATAATGTTAAAATATTAAATTGTAATTCAACAATAGAAACAACAACATCACCATCACCAATTGTTGGTATAAGTAGATCGCATAGCACTTTATGCTCAGTGAATATACCAAAACAACAAAAGTCATCAATTATTATCAGTAATAACAATAATAATAATAATAATAATAATAATAATGAAAATAAAATAAATTATTCAACAACAACAACAACAACTGCAACAACTTTTAATGGTGATATAAAAAATACACAAGTTTATAATAAAGAAAAATCAACTATAATAACAACAATTCCAACAAATACAGCATCGATTTCAACAAATACTAATGCAATAATTTCAATCGATGATAGTAAAAAATGTGATATAAATTCAATTCCAGTAAATAAATTAGAAATGGAAAATAATTTAAAGAATGCTGCTGAACGTTTATTTACTGAAATAACAATAAATCAATCATCAAATTCATTATCTAAAAATAAAACAATGATGATGACATCACCGGCAATTTCTGCAAATAAAGAAATTTCAAAATCAATTAATGATAATACTACATCGATGACAATATTAGAAAACGGAAATAATAAAATAATGGAAAATAATGAGAAAACAGAACATTTAATATCAGTAAGAAATAATAAAATTCCTAGTCCAAATATTAAAATATCATCATCACCAAAATTAAATAATAATGTAAAAGTTCAACGAAGTACTACATGTGTAAGTTTATTACAACGTCCAGAACCAGAAGGTGGTTGTGATCAAATAACACGATCAAATGAAATTAATAAAACACAAAGTCGTATTAGTGCCTTACCACCAGAGAAAAAAGCTGCATTTCATGAAATCCTAATATCAGAAATTGCAGCAATGCGTCACACTGATGATTCATCTGAAGAAATAATTCAAAAAAATAAAAAAGGAATGATAACAACATTACCATTAACAAAATCCAAAACATCTTTAGCATTATTTAATGGTAATAAAAATAATAATAATACTAGTGAAAGAAATAAAATTAATTCAGTTCCATCAGTTCAAATTAATGATAAATTCAATAAAAATAATGAAATTATTAATGATTCTAAATCAATTGAAAAAATTGGAAAAACTACTCCAGTTGATCCAGAATCTCAAGAGAAAAAACAGGAACAATCAAACCAAGATATTATCACAACTGATCTTGATAATTTAAGTGATGATCATTTAGAAGAGATCGATGATAATTCATTAAAAATGAATGATGAATTATTGAGCAATGATAGTAATAGCAATAAATGCCATTTAATAAATAATAATTCAAGTGATGAAAATGAACGTGATATTATTGATATAAAAGGTAAAAAAAATATATCAAAACAATTAAGAAAACGTTATCCATCTGGTTGTTCAACTGATTCATCACCATATGGTACACAAAGGTCAACAACATCATCGATGTCATCATCAAGAATACGTACATCTGATTGGATTGAAGTTGGTGATAATGGTAAAAAATTAACAATGTCCAGTTGTCATATTAGTTTAGAAGATTCTGGATTAGAAGATGAAATTGATCGTAGTTTAGATGGTAATGATGAAGAAGATATAAGATCAACTGAGGTAATTGTTGGTGATTCATGGGATAGCGTAAAGAAGAATATAACTGAAAGGTAAGCTAAATATATATTGATTAAAAATTTTTTTTGTAGAAATAAATTGGTATCTTATGAAATATAAGAGGGAATAATTAGAATTATGGGCCGAAATTAATTTGTTCGAATTCTATGAATATCTATATTGGATTGTCAAATTTTTATTAAAAATTTTCATTTACAGCGAATTGCGTTACGTACATGTTTACGTAATTCAAACATTTTTGATGTTTTTAACAATTACGAGAAACAATAAATTTACGTAGACTGAGAGTTTTAAAATTTGCTTTAGAAGTTACTAGAAAATTGCCGCATTTATCCTTTTATAATTTTCTCTAATCTTAAATAATCTATAAACATTTTTGTATATAAAAAAGTAAAACTTATTTACCGATATTAGCAGAGATTTTAAGATTGCTTTGAATAGAAGTGCATCTAAAAGCAATTTAAAAATAATTTGTTCCATGCAATTTTCAAAATTTTGTTTCTGCATAAGTACATTAGAACAAAATGTTTGTACACATGCCACTGAGAGAAAACTTATTTACCCAAGTTAACATAGATATTATAACTAGTACGAATTTTAATTAGTTAGTTGTTTCTATTAACAAAGCACAAAATTAATGAGATTACTTAATTGGAAATGTCTGAAATCATTTTGATTTTCAGAAGTATTCTTGTTTTTTTTTGTGTCTTAATTTAATTAGCCACAATTCCCCTAAACACATGGGTAACATTTTAATTTCATAAAAAATAATCAAAACGTTTTTCAAATATTTTCGAAATTTTTAAATAGGTAAATTTTGTATATCAATAATAATTTCGTAAAGGTTTTCATATTTTCTATAATTAAATTTCAAATCATACAAAATTTTTTTTTTTTGTTTTAAATTATATTTTTAATTGGATTTGAAATGATCTAAATATTTAGTATTCAATAGAAGAAACCCCCTTAAGGGATAACAATTTTTAATCAAAATTTTAAATTGTTAAGTTCATATTGCAATTGACATACAAAAAAAAAATCTATTGGTAAAATAAAATCTCTGTAGGCAATTAAAGATTTTTGAGTTCAAAAAAATTTTTTTTTGTTTTTTACTTTTGTTTTTATTTTTATTATTGTTTCTTTATTACACAATTGCGACTTTTGGTACAATTAAAAACAATTTTTGTTATACATATATTTTTTTATATAAGAATTTACTTTGAGTTATAAAGATTGTTACCAGCGTGACCAAATACGTATAGTACATATTATACAGTATACGTGTTATGTACATATATGTACATAATATGTGAATGTATAATAATATTGAATTCGGAATAAGAAAAACATGTATGGAGAAAATGTGAATTGGCAAAATTACATCACATTATGCATTGTAATCCATATAGCAAGGTTACGGATTTTATGTTGGTTATAGAGCTGAAATTACATAGTACGTATATGATTTTCTTTTTTGTGTTTTTTTTTTATATACACAAATGGTATAAAATTCATGAAGTGCTTATTTACTTTTGTATATGGTATGAAATTTTTCCCTGTTTTTATGTGACATTTTTAATTAGTTATTGTTACCATTTCGCTCTTATGCTTTTGTTTTCCTTAATTTTAATTTAGTATTTATGTTTTTGTTTGAAATTTAATTTTTCCACTTGTAAAAATGAGATTTTCTTTCTTCTTTGGCTTTCTACATTTATTTATTTTTTTTTGTTGTTTTTGTATAACTACCATAAAAATTTAACATTACGAAACATTAAAAATGAATAAAAATATTGATAACTTGTCTGTGTACACTTGGCTATTTTAAGGGGTATACCAAGTGTATTTATATTGGATTATATGAATTAAAAGCGTCATTATCGTCTATTATGTAAAATGCAGACAAAAGAATCAGAGATTTTTCCATGCGGAAAATTTTTTTTATTTTTTCATATAAAATAAAATTATTTATGTAAAATGCGTTTAATATTATGTTTGTATTTATGGATTTAATAATAAAGAGGGACAAAATTACATTATTGTTGTATATTTATTTTTTTTTTGTTAAGTACAGAAAAGTATTTTTTCTCTTTAAATCTTATAAAAAATTCACTTTTATAGAATTTATAAATTATTGGGTTCCGTTTTTGGAGTTGAATTTAAATTGAAATCACTTATATAGTATGACATGTAATTTAGTATTTATCGGTATGTTTGTTATTTTTTAATATAGAAATACCAGTATGCTAAATATTGCAAAAAGAAAAATAGAAATAATTTACGTATAAAAATATTTAATTTTTAATGTCACCAGGTTATTTTTGATAAATCTTCTTTTATGAATTTGAACGTGAGATATACATGTACTAATATTGAAGAGTAAATATGGCAGCGGTGTAATCAAAGAGTCTTACTATGTTATATAAGAGATGTAAAGAGAATAAATTGCAAATTTTATTATCGGCATAATTTAAATCAATTCATAACTTTCTATTGAAAAGTCATTTGATTGAACATTTTTTTTCTCTTTTGTAACTTAATTTGCATCAATAAATGTATTAGAGTGTTTAATAAAAAATATTTTAAATTTATAACTTTGAATTTATTAATTTTATATGAAATCACAGAAGTTTTGTTTTCGTTTTGCAAATAACTAAATTTATTATAATAAATTATAGATAATATAGATAGTTTCTATGTTAAGAAAAAAATGATTTTTCTCCGAACAATAATAATATGGCTTGTAATAAGGTTTTTAGGGGCTTGTTTATTATTGCAAACTTAGCAGAATTAAACTTGAATTGAGATATGAAAGAATAGGTGGCGTAATACACTGAAAACTCTACATAATACGAATCATTTTCCGTAATATAGTTATTAAAAATACAGAATTGAAATAAAGCGCTACTATGTCAAAAAACTTCTTCGTTAAATGAAGAATTTAGTTACATGAAGTGTTCGTTGCACAAATATTCCACTGTATATAAAGTTTATTGTAAATTTATTGTAAATTTTCAATTTGCTTAAATAGTATAGTGATTTAAGATTGGGGGCATAATATGTACGAGTACTTAAATATTTTTATAATTAAATATTTTTTCTGTTCAAATGATTTACATTTAAATGTAATAAATATAATAAATGTATCCAATGAATGCACTTAATTTTAATATCATATCAGTAAAAATATGAATTGTGATCAAATACTTAATAAAATTGAATTTTTCTAAATCACAATCTGCACAACCGAATAAACTTACATCTTATGGTCACCTTAATAAAATTGCGTACTTAAACACCATTTTCTTGTAATAGAAAAATATTTATAATAGAAAAATCTCCGCTGCTTTCATTAAATTTGAAAACAAAGCAAGAAAGCAAAACAAAAATAATTTGTCAATTAAAATTTCCTGAAAATTTTCATTTAATAGTTTTTTAATGGAAAAAAATTGAAATTTTCAAATTCACCACATTTGATTTTTGTTTTCTTTTAATGTTAATTATTATACATGCGACTTTATAAATTTCTAACAACGCCCTTTTACATTGTTAAACTTTTATTGTTTTTGGTAGTAGCCATAAAGCATTGTACATGTGAGCATCGACACATCAATTTGAATCCAGCATTCATTCAGATAGCAAAAATTTACAACTGTTATTGTATTGAAAAATGTTAAGAACTTTTTAGTTTTGCTACATTTTTTAACAGTTCTTTAAATACTTTTTTTTCTCTTTTATGTCAAATACTAAATTAGTTGAGTATTATAATTGAATATAATTGTTATTCTTGTAGCAGTGAAATGGTTTACTGAATTTATTGTGACTTTGTATTAAATACCAAATTAAATGTGAATTCACAATATTGTCTACAATGTGTACCAAATTTCCGGATTATTTAATTTGTTAAAGTTAGATTAATTAGGTATATTATTTTTCTGTAAATATTTTTATTATTTCAAAGAATAATTACAATTTTTTCAATATTCAATATTTGTTTGTTGAACTTGTTTAAAATATTAGAAATTTTTGATACGATTTAGATTTGTATTGATTTCGTTGTATGAGAATGTGTATGGGAAATTTTAGTTTATTTTAAGTTCAACGATATAATAAGACCTTGAAGGAGTCACAGTCTAACTTGATGTAGGTATTAGGTAGATATAATCAAAAATAGATAAATTAAATTTGAATTTATTAAATATGGTATCAATTCATATTTGGTAACACAAAAAAAAATATATTATATATGGATTTGAATTTGAGGGTAATTAAAATAAAAAAAAATTCAAATTCCAAAATATTTGACCGTCAAAATTGTTGCTTTTTCCTTCGATTTTATTATTATCATACTTATTTCTTTTGTCGGTCACTCTACAGCATGATATTTTCTTCTCTTAAGAGATTATTAATTGATTGTAGTTGAATGATACTGTATTAAATATCAATTATATATTCATAATGAAATATTTAAATTACTAATGTTGTTTTCATTACAATAATACTATATATATGGGTATATAATTATTATTTTATATTGTTAAAAAGGGGAAAAAATGTTATTTTAATTTCGTAATTATAGTAGAATGTCGTAAACACAACATAATAATATTAATGGAAAGTTTTCAAATATATTTCTTGAAATGTCAGCATTAAAAATATAAAAATTTTAAAATTCTATTGTGAATAGTACAAGTAATTATTATTGTCCTTGGTTATTACAGAATGGTATGAGGAAGTTAAAAAGTAAACCAATTTCATTTTGCTCTTTTTTTTTTTCATTGAAATTTCAAAGAGAATAATTGAAATGTGTGCAACAAGTGGATTGATATAGGTGTACATGCACAAATACATATATGTATACTCGTATATACATATAAACTTTTTTAAAAAGTAATTACCACTTTTAATGAATTTATTTTCAATAATTAAATCAGAAAAACTGGATATCTATTCTATTTTTTTTTCCTTATGTATACTCGCAGTAAGTATTTTTAATCTAATTATTTCTATATCTTGTTAGTGTTCTAATATATAT